TTCTGGGGACCTTTGGGAGGACAGCAAGCTTCTGGACAGGGAGGGATCTTACAACATTGTTTCTGCTGGGACATGATTCTCCAGGAGGTTGAAGAAGCCTGCAAAGAGAAGAGGGGGAAAAATAAGGAATGTATTGAGCGCGAGTGTCTCATTTCATCGGAGCCCCTCAAAAAATTTCCTCAAATCTACTTTGGACTTTCTTTCTTTTTTGCAGAAATCCAGAGAAGATCAGCCTATTCTCTAAATCAGCCGTCAGAAGTCAGAAGAAGAAATCACGGACAGAAACTAATCAAGGAGAGAAGCAACCTAGAACGGAGCAGAAATTTCTTGACAGCGAGATCAATCAAACCATCAGACTTACCTGAAGGTTTTGGGAGTAAGACACAGAGATGTCGAGGTAAGCCACCACCGGAACAGGTTGAGGGACCCAATGTTGCCATCCGCCTTTTTATTCGATTTCCCAAGCAGCGTCACTTCCTGCCCCCACCAGATTAAATTCGTTGAGTGCGGGTGTGAATTGGCTAATTGAATCCTCAATCAGCCCCTCCCCGATTCTTCATCCATTAGCAGATGTTTGTCTAATGACTTTACAACGGCTTCAGTTTGGTCCTTCGCCAGGAATAGAATATCTGTGCTTTTGCGACACGCGGCCTTGTGTTTTCAATCATGCAGCAAACAAAACTTCCCTGGTGTGGTGCAGTCTATCTTAAAATATCAGCGGCGGCGTTGCAAAGCTTTCCGCACGGTGCAATCCAAACACTTGTCCCAAACCAGATTTATCATCTAGATTTAGGAGATCTGGAGACGAGTTTGATGAAACGATGTTTTGTGAGAATGGATTCTCAGTTCCTTCCTTTTAAAATATTAATTGTATTATTTTTTAATGAATACCACTAATATCACAGTAATGTATTAATCGGTGTTCTACTAGCGGGTTAATATGTGTGTATGTGTTGGTCCTTTTTATTTAATGCGCTTTTTTCTTTTTTAATGTTTTGATTTTATTTTTTATCTTTTATTGGATTATTATTATTATTATTGGCATTGTCAAACGATCATAAAATCTGCAAACATTATCTTTTTTTAAACGTCAATATCTTTCAAGCGCTCAAAAGAGTGAGCTGATCTCTACAATCAGCCCAGGGCTTGTCCCAAACCTAGTTTAAAACCTGGTTTCTAGGTCCAAACTAGTTTCCTGGAGCTTTTGACCTTCGGAGAAACTTAAACGCTCAGATGCCGAAGTTATTTGGAGTTTGTGAGGCCTTCCTGGCGAAAAGAAATTCCGAAATGCGGCCCTGTGGCTTGTTTCAGAGAGATTATAGGTTATGCCTTGGCATCTCCAAACCCAGAACAAATTAGTATGAATTAATGCAAATGTTCTCCTTTATATGCTAGGACTCTGTGTAATGAGCTCCCTCCGCTGGTATAATTTGAGACTTTCTCCATTATGAAAATCACATTTTTCTCATTGTTGCATGGTTTGAAAAACCTGCAAAGGTTTCCTTGATCTTTCTTTCTTCTTTCCTTCCCCTCTCTTCTTCCCTCCCACCCTCCTATATTCTCTTCCCTCCATCCCTCCTTCCATTCCAGCTTCCTTCCTTCCTTCTGTTCCTCCTTCCTTCCTCCCCCTCCCTCCCTCCTATATTCCTTCCTTCCATTCCTTCTTCCTTCCTTCCCCTCCTTTCCTCCCTCCCTCCTATATTCCTTCCCTCCTTCCGTTCCTCCTTCCATTCCTTCTTCCTTCCTTCCTTCCTTCCTTCCTTCCTTCCTTCCTGCCTGCCTGCCTGCCTGCCTGCCTGCCTTCCTTCCTTCCTGCCTTCCTTCCTTCCAAACAAGTTATTTTTATGGAAATGAAAATACGGTCCACAGTGAAGAAATATCTGGGTTTTGTTGAGGGATACCAGATACATTATTTTATGCAAAGAGTTTCCATATTTGGGGTTGTCTAATCGCAGTAAACTATATTCTTCTACTCTTCTCTGCTCTTTTCATCTGAGGCCGTTCAAAGGAATCCCCAAAGGAGAATTATCTTTTAGAATTGTGGGTTTTGCAAGGATGAGGCAGGCCGTGGATTTGGATGGGCAGAACCAGGAAAAAATAAATAAATAGCATGGAGACAGGAGGCTTGGAAATTAAAAGAAAGGGTGGAATGGATCCGGGAACAGATGTTTTTAAAATGTGTCTTCTTTTCTTAGTCATTTCTCAGGCCCATCTGGCAAAATCTATCCAGCTGCTTTTCCAGGTGTTTAGCTCCGAGGGATGGATGGCCTGATGGATTGTGGGAAAATTCTTCAGGAGAATAACAAACTCGCCCAACTGGTTGGTCCATCGTTGAGTGACCAGCTGCTGATGGAAATAACGTGGGCCTTCTGGAGAGGAGCAAAGAGGCATTTTATAATCTTTTCTAAGCATAGAAACTTGTTTTTAATCCGTGCCCCAAAATGCCCACTTTCTCCTATTTGATTAAACAAAATGGATGAAATGAAGCAAGGCTCTAGTCCTTGTGCTTCTTGGGAGAGGAAAACCTGTGAAAATGGGGAAGAAGGAATAGAGAGAGCACCAATTTCTTCTGATTGAGGGAACCGAATTGATGAACAGACTCAAAGCCAAGACTCTAGTCCTCACAGACTTGATTGAAATTAGGAAGGTTTATAGAGATCCAAGTTTCTTCTGATCGAGGGAAACAAAATCGATGAAACAAAAGGAAGGCTCTAGACCTCATGTTTGTCAGGAGGAGAGACTTGGGTTGAAATTAGGAGGAAGGCTTATAGAGATACAACAATATCATTTCTGGGCATGGGAAATTAGTTGTGCATCATCGTTATAAATTTGCAATTCTCATCTTCCAAATTTCTAGTCCCTCTGGGCTACAGATGATGGCTGCACGACCCAATTCCCCATCTCTGGATTGTTTGCAACCCGCTTCTTTGCCAAGACATCTTGGTTTCCAAAGAGGCCAAGGATATTTTCCCCCATTTAAATAAATTTTAAAAACAACAACAGTTGGCTCTGGTTACTCATAGTAGTAATGCTTGTGTGGATTGACCTGGCAACACTTTGACCTGCCCAGCTGACACCTGAGATTATCCCGTCACTCGTCTCCTTGTTAAATGGAGCTTGGAAATGTGTCCTCCGGGGAAAACTTGGCTGCATCACTCATTTTTTGAGCCAGGAAATCATCTTCCTATCTCTGCTCGACCAAGGAACGCAAAGCGTTTTTCTCCTCCGATTCATTGCGTCGCCCAAGGTCAAGTTCCCAACTCTGGTGTCCTTGTGTTCCCCTAAGCCAAAGCCAATTTTAAACCACAACAAAGGCAACATGGCTCTCGCCCGCTTTCGAGGAAAGCGTCTCTTTTTACATCACGCAATCCTAAAAATATGAAGTGAGAAAGGGGGAAAAAATATGTGTTTTGTTTTTTTTAAATCAGTGGATGAAAATCAGTGAAATGGGTGCTCCAACACTGGAGGTCTTTAAGAAGAGACTGGACATCCATTTGCCTGACATGGTAGAAGGTTTCCTGCTTGACCAGGGGGCTGGACTAGATGACCTCCCAGAGGTGCAGGTGGCTTGCTTCTCTAGTCTACAGGTAATCCTCAACTGACGATCACAATTGAGCCTAAAATTTCTGTTGCGAGGCGAGACACTTAAGGGGAATTTTTTCCGAATTTTACGATCTTTCTTGGTTAAGTGTATCTGGTTTCCCCGTGGCCAGAAGATCGCAAAAGGAGATCAGGTGAGCCTGGGACACTGTGACCATCTTAAATATGAGTCAAAGGCCAAGCACCTGAATTTTGATCGTGTGACCCTGGGAATGCTGCAGCGACCGTGTGTGAAAAGTGTGAAAAACCGTCCTTTTTTCAGTGCCGTTGTAACTTTGAGCCGTCAAGGATCATCTGTATTCCATCTCTGATTCCTAATGTTTAGGCTAGAAATATCATCTTCTTCTTCTTCTTCTTCTTCTTCTTCTTCTTCTTCTTCTTCTTC